TAACATCTTGTAGGTATGTTCTACTTAAACCACCAGACTCATTCTCATTACTACCTATAAATGCATTTTCTTCACTGATTCTCTCCTCAAAACTTTCTAAGTTCCCAACAAATGGCAATGGTTCAAATACATTTGGAAACTCAGACTGATTACCACTACAAATGAGGGGCTCGTGTTCAACAAACAAACTGACAACTCTATCAGAATCCAACCATTGCACCAAATTCATAGCATCCAAATCATTCTCAAGTAGTGACAAATCATAACAATCAGTCATTCCTCTTTTGCTACAGAATATTTTACCCACATTATCCAAGCCAATTTCTTTAACCATAGACAATATCTCAACCATTGACATCAAATTTTTATCACAATTGTCAATGAAATCAATAGAACCACTACAATACACATTTCGACCTACACTTACAAATTTACCAGAATGATTGAATGCAATCGTAAAAACTTCAGCATTATTACCTATAAAATGAAAAAAAAAGCACGTCAGAAAACAAACAAAAAAACTAAGCATGATTAAACACCTCAGAAAACAAACAAGACACTAAGCATGATTTTTCATATGTTAAGAAAAAAAGTATCAGATTGGAGAGGTAAACACTTACAGTGTGCTCTTGCTGACTGACATGATTTTGGCCGCAGCTTCCAACTCATTGTTGAGCTAAACCTAAAATTCATACTCACAGTATGCTCGATTTCATATGTCGATTCAGAAGGTAGTGAAATGATTTTCGATTATGAGGCAAAGAAGAAAACCCTCATTTCAATTTTCGTTTGCTCAACCCTAATTTGAAAAGGACCAGTCGCTGATTTTGGAGAAAAATGAAATTGGGAGAAAAGGTAGGACAACCGTCAACCGGCAGTGGGGTATTTATATGGGGTTCAAAACCAGTTTCAAACAGGTGAAACCGGACTTAAAGCTGGTGTGGGGGGCATATTGACAAACTCGTAGTTTAGAGGATGGTTTGCAACAAAATAAAGTTCATATGGTGATGCGCCATTTTCGCGAAAGTTCAGATGGGAAAAAGTTTTTTTCCCTTAAAAAAAAAATAACTACACGTGCATCACATCCCACTTCATTGACAATGAGTAGAATTTGCATAAGAAAACCCCAAATTTTGTTCTGATAACCAACCACGTCGGTGTATATATTAGGAAAATGTTAATATTTTATTATCACCATAAACCTTGACAATGGTGATTTTTTTGTTTAGGTGACATTCACTATCTCATATATTGTTATAAAACATAAAATGTTAATATTTTATTATTAACTAGTAGGTACCCGTGCGATGCACGGAACAAAGATATTAAATGAGTTATTTCACAGCATTTTCTGTTTAAGTCTGAAAAGTAATATGGTTATTATCAATTTTCTACCTTTTTTTAATCAACGTTAAGTCTAAAAAACAATGGGGTTATAAACTTTTTTTCCACATCTTTTAATACAAACTTTAACAAATTTTAAATGGTGGTATTTGATAATTTAATTGTTTAGTATTTTTTTAATAGTAAAAAATTTGTTATGAATATATACATTGTTATTTTAAATCATAGTTTACATGATAGTTATACCAATTTCATTATTTCCATATATGGTGCGAATCCCTTACAATTTTTTTAATGTCTTTTAAATATAAAGTTTTAATTTTTATAAAACTATGCACCAACTATACAACGAATAATATATTTTTGTAGTAAAATTAATTTAAATGCACCAACTATATATGCACCGAATGTTCCAATTTAGATATTTTTACATTCAAATTATTCAATGTTCAACTTTATTTAACAATGTCGTGATAATAATAATAATAATAATAATAATAATAATAATAATAATAATAATAATAATAATAATAATAATAATAATAATAATAATTTCACAAGATTTTAAACGTAGAATATGATTTTTAATAACAATAGAAAAATCATGGTAAGTTGTATTGAAAATGTGTTATGAGATAAAACAATTAAATAAAATACTTTAAATATAAATAAAATGCATTAATTACCTTTGACTTTTTTACCTACTATTTTTAGTAAATATGATAACTTTTTATATAAGTATAGATTACCCTAAAATAAAATCAAAATGTTTTTGAAATTCAAAATTAAAGCTCTATTGGCGGGATTTTTCGAACTGTTTCAAAAGAAATTACCAAGTTTAATAATTTTAAAAAATTTAGGCGAGATTTTAGTTTATATTTCAAGTAAATAAAATATATATATATATATATATATATATATAGATATTTTATATTTTTTGGTTCAGGAAATAGTTTTTGAGATATATTAAACAGTAGTTCTGATAATAGGTTAGGTGATAATGTCAAAACAAATATTTGATGTGATTTATTTTTATAAATGTTATGAAATTTTACTTTAAAAGTATTGTAATCTAATTAAAGGTTGCAAAAATATTTATGTGGACAAATTTTCAAATGCCATTAAGAATCGTGTACTTTGAAAATTCTAATAAATGGTTTACGAATCTGTGGATAAATGTTAAAATGCCATTAATGTGTTCTACATATTAGTGAAACAAAATCCTGATCATATCTATACAATTGCTATCCAATGTGCACAATGAATTGTGTGATTTTGTTTTAAATTTTCTAAAAATTCAAACAGGTCATTTATAATTTATCCTACCTCATAAAAAAAATCATATATGAAAAAAAATCATACATATATGATTTATGACAATAAAAATAAAAATAAATAAATAAATAAGGAAAGAAAATATTGAAAGTTGGAGATGTCTTTTCTATTATCCAAACTATCCGCGTACATTGTACCAACAAAAAAAAGAACTATCCGCGTACACAAATTCTTTTCGCTCAAACAGAAAAACCGTTCACGCACGTCTCTACCAAAGAATCGCTCAGTCCGCAACAAATTTGCCGACTTTGACGGTCGGAAAAGTTGCTGTGCAAAAACACGCCCGTCTCCTTCGCCGGACCAGAGTCACTCCTGCAAGAGTCATCTTCACCCTCTCGCAAGCCTCCTTCAGCCATGTCGAGCCAAAATCCGTCAACGACGTGATTCGTTCATGTCCGTCGCCACTCTCACTCAGCCCTTTGCGCAAGAGGCAACCAGTCATGGTGAGTTCATCCATCTCCAGCAGCCCGCACATAAGTTCGGCCACCAACTAGCGTCCGGCACCGATCCGTTCAAGCCGTCTCGGCCCAGCACGCTCGTTCCAGCCCGCTCAGTCCAGCGTAATATTCACGCACAATCAACGTTGGAAGTCCACTTCAACTTGGCCGCGTCACACGAAAAATCTCGCCCAATTGTTAATGCCAAAAATTTTGCCACAAATGCGTCAGTCATCTTCTCCGGCCTTCCTGCAACTTCCGGTCGTCTTCTCCGGCCAGCACGTCATCTTCTTCGTCTCTTCCGGTCAGCAACAACATCTACCCTTAGAACACCCATGTCCATCCGGCACTTGGGAGCTCAGCCACGAACAGACGTGCACAGCTTTCTAGCCGAAGCTTGGCCGAGCTCAGTCGAGCATTGCACCTCCTTCTCCAGCCGTCTCTAACATGGCCATCACTAATGAAATTCTTCAGCCTGTGTGTGCAACACGTTAGGTCCGCCCGGCACCCAACATGGGCATCACCCGGATCGACATGGCCATGTCCAGCACGTTCGGTCCGTCCAGCACTCAGGCTGCCGGCAGCAGGACCGAGAGTAGCAACCGCCATGTCCCGACGCCCGTTTGACATGTCCCTGATGCACATGGCCGGAGATGGTGGCTTCGCTGGACCGAGAGCTCGTGGCACTCGCCGGCAGCGATCTCGGCGGAGGAGAAGGTTCGACTTTGAGATATGGGAGTTTATATGGAAGTTACATATGATAAAATAAATGGAATGTATCTTTATATTTTTTTTAAAAAATATTTGAATTTAATTTATTTCCAAAAAATTCAGACACACATTTTAGGCGGGATATTCTCAAAATTTTGAAAAAAATACTACATTTAGTATATGTTTTAGTGGGAATCCGAATTATTTTTTAGTTACTATTTCTGTATTATTTAGGTTGCCTCTTTATATGATACTAGATTTGTTTTTTTCTGTGTGCTTAACCTATTTTATATTATTGTTTTGCTGTTACTGACTCCCAATATCAAATCTTTTATTTTGCGTTTTAGTTAATTTAATTTGATGTATGTAATATGTATATATAACCAAATGATCATTTTTTTTTTCTGGCTTCTAAGATTCTTGTGAAGGTGGTGACCTTCCTTTTCTTTTCTTTTTTTTTTTCCTTTTTTTTATTTAAAATTAATTATCAATTGATTTTTATCAATTTTAACTGGGGGTTTTACATCTTTGAAATTCAAGCATTTTTTGAATATCTTGAGCCGACTGATGAGTACTTTTCATGGAGATTTTTTTTTTTTTTTAAAAAAAAAATAAAGATGGTGCAATCAGTGTTTTGTGACCCGGGCCGGCCCGGCGGGTCGACCCGGGACCCGGTCGACCCGGAGCCGGAACCGGTCCGGGTGGGTTAATTGGACCGGGCAACAACGGACCCGGTCAAACTCGGTCAAAACTCGGTCGACCCGGCCTTGACCCGGTCGACCCGGGGCATTGATCCGACTGGGTCAACCCGGTTGACCCGGTCTATATGTATTTTTTTATTATTTTTTTGTTTTTTAATTTTCTTTTTCTTTTTAAAAAATAAAATTATGTATATATATTTATATGATAAATATATACATATTATTACCACTTTAATCTACAAATTTTACATACAAAATATTTAAATTTGTTATTTTTATGTATATTTATATATCACAAAATACTCTATATATAATTTTATAAATTTTAAAATTAATTATCCGGTTCAGCAATTGACCCAGCGACCCGACGGTTGAACCGGTGACCCGGTGACCCGAAGACCTCCCCGGGTCGATTACCGGGCCGGGTTTAAAAACTATGGGTGCAATTATGTATTTTTGCCTGATCCAAAAATTATCCCGCAATCCAAGCCAAAATAAAGTTACCCAGTCAAACTTTCAGTCAATAGCCCGTTTTCACTCCCTGACTGAGAAAACACACAAAGAAAGAAAACAGAGAATCCCCAAACATATCACTGAGATGATCCCTTCTCAAAGTCCAAAAAATCACCATTTTTTTGGTAGCCAGCCCATGGATACGGAGCTTTGCACCGATTAATTTGTTAGTCGACTCAGATCTCACACCTACCAATGGTAGATGAGTCTCCCAACAAGGATTTTCTGCATTCACAAGAAGTCGAACCCGATTTCTTGCTTAAGCGACGTCAAACTGTTTACTATTTGAGTCAACCATGTTGCTAAAACTCTTGAGGGAGAGCTTTGCCGCCTTTGTGATCCTACCCGACTCGATTTCGGATTAGTCGGTTCCCATATGAATCCGGAAACCGGAAGATCCCTTTACCAAAAAAAAAAATCACAATTTTTAATGTAAATCCAACATAACATCATATTGTCACATGATTATTTATCGATAAGGACAGCACCATTTACTTTTTATAAATAAATATAATTCATATATATATAACCAATAGTAGCAACAAAGATTGTATTTTTTCACATCATTTTTCATGAAGTAGCCTGTTCCAGTTCTTTGCCGTTTGCCCCCCCAGATAAAGAATGCTGGACTCGGCGGGCTTTCAGGGCTTAGGATCGGGTTTAAGGGCCCGCGATATGAGCCCAGATTCCGCCATTTTCACCGCCGAGTCTTCCAACTTCAGCCTCTTCTCGTCAGCTTCAGCTAGTGTCGACAGATGCTCTCTTGCATCTGATTTGCCTGATCAAGATTCTGCTGTCTCCGTAATTTCTCGACTTTTTTTTATTTTTTCGGTTTTCATCACTTCATGGCTTGTATTTTAGAGATTATTCGATTATGTGGTTCAAGTTCGTGCCATTTTTTTATGTACACATTTTCAACGCACGCCAACTGTTTGCTTATTTGTCAACACGAGATGGATTAGTACTCTGTAAAAGTAGTGCCCTGATAGAGGAAATTATTCTATGCATTCTTTAATTATTATATTTCCTCTATTTTTCTGTGGAGGAATGTGGGAAGAATCTATGAGTTAGATCTGATAACAGATGGGTTTTGCTTTTCAGCATTTGGTTGGACTCTGCTGTTGTAATAGTTTTGTTATTTCAATTTACAGAAAAAAAAAGAAACAAAAAAAACAATGTAAGTTGAAATCTTTGATTTGAAACAGCATTTGGCAGGACATGAATTGTCTGAGGTATTGAGTGGCCCAGGTTCGAGTCCGAACAAACACACTCCAGTACCGATGAATAGTCTCAGCAAAAAAGTGAAAACCAAAGGTACTGTTTTTTACCTCATTTCTTGAACTTTTCTTGTGTGGTCTGTGGTAGTTCTAGGCTTCTAGCTGATTGAATGGTGAATTTTAGAAGCAAAAGGGGAAGTTTGAGCGAAATACATTGAAATGTTTGGACCAAATAACTGACTTATATTATTCTCTCTTGATTATGGCATTGTTTTACTTTAGTTCAAAAAGTAGAGAGCAGTGAGGCCGAGACCACGGAGGATGAGAGTACAGCCATAGGCTCCGCAAGAAGTTCGTTCTCTCAAGCCCTTAAAGGTAACTTACCTGGAAAAGTATAGTTAACAACTTGATTCAAGAATCTCCAAGTTTCATACATCTGTGCATATTCATTTTCCCTGCTTTGTTGTTGGTCTGATACTGCTAGAATGTCAAGACCGAAAGTTGAGATCCGAGGCACTCATGAAAAAAAAATTCAACCGCCAGAGGCCTGCTTCTGTGGACCTCAACATCCCCGTAAATAATCTCATAAATTCCTCCTCGCCAAGACTCGGAACTATGAAGAAACAGCCCGCCGCTCCCTGCAAGACTTCCGCATTCCCGAGCCCGGGAACACCCAACAACTGGCAACCGAACGTCAGGATTCAAAAGGGCTGGAGTTCCGAACGGGTCCCGCTGCACTCGAATGTCAACAGGAGAAACATAAATGCTCCAATGTTATCCTACAATAACAATGGACGGACGCTGCCCTCGAAATGGGAAGATGCCGAGAGGTGGATTTTCAGTCCTGTGCCAGTGGATGGTGCTTTCAGGACAGGTTTGGTCCAGCAGGCCGAGAGTAAGCCCAAATCGAAGAGCGGGCCACTCGGGCCCCCGGGATTGGCCTACTACCAGATGTTTACTCCTGCGGGACCCACGCTCGAGATCGGGAGGAGGGAAAAAGGGAAGCTAGCTGAGAGCTCGCCGTTTTTCTTGGGAAACGAGCATTGCATGGCCCGGTCTATCAGCATAAATGGATGTTCTGAGTTGGTGGCCAAGTCGTCTTTTGTGGTACACCACCCGGGTAATGGAATTGTTTTACCTTTTTATTCTTTGAGAAGGCTTTGGGGAGAAAGGTCATATGCGTGTCGATTGAATTATAGGAATTGCCTTTGAGTGTAGCTGAATTGTGGAAAATTTAGTTTAGTAAGAGTGAGTTTATTTTAAATCCCTTGAAGTAGTGTGGTTTTTGCACATTGCGCAGCCATTGCTTTTGTTGCATTTTACCCCTTCAACTAAAAGTTCGTTTTGTTCTCACTTTACCCCTGAGTGATCTCTGTTCAATCTTGTGCAAATACATGAAGAAACATCTAGTTTTGACTAGGCCGAGGACAAAGTGAACTAAAATGCATAGTTAGGAGTATAAAATGAAAAAAATAAAAATAAAAAAATAATAATAATAATAATAGTTGGAATAGAACCTTCATACTCTATAGTTCAGGAGGTTTATTGTATTTTATTATTTTCTGACTTACAAGCATGGCTACAACGTTTCATAAGCACTTGTTGAGGTTTGTATTTGCTTGATAAATGACCCCTTGACTAGATGCAGCTTGTAAATATGAACCCGTATCAAAAGGTGGTTTTTGAGAAAGTAACTATTGTTTCTTGCTAAGTCGACTGAGCTTTATTTTTCTTTTTCTTTTGTCTATTTCAATGTACTGTTATTTTTGGCTCTATTTTGCCCAGGACACCGTGACATAATTGCTAGTTGCTTTCTTACTATTGGTCAGCACTACTAATGCAGTATATTCTGAATTAAACTTATTTCCTTCTTTTATATATCAGATGAGATAAATGGTGTGACCCAAGAGGATAATGCGGCCAACAACATATCTCGTGTTCTTTCTAGAAGGGATATGGCTACTCAAATGAGTCCGGATAGTAGCAGCATACAGTCCTCTCAAAGGCGTTCATCTTCTTATTCTGAGGCTACACTGCCCGTTTTCGAGTCACGTCCCAATCCCAAAATAAGGGATGTTCCAGTTGAC